CAGCACTCAGCCAGTTCACATCCCCCTCATGTCATCAGCTTCTCTGACAAGAGTCTCTGGAGAGTCTGCCTTGACACCAGTGACAGTTTCCACATCCGCACTCACTCTGCAAGGGGCCAGTTCACTGACTGAGAGGCAGCCAGTGCCAGCAGAGTAAGGATGTAAGCAGTCCCTGAAGGGCCAAGTGCATCTGGTCCAAGACCCTGCCCCACCTCATCGCTGGGACAGGTCCTGCACTCATCCCCAGTCTGCTGGGGCTCTGGGACGAGGATGGAGAGAAACGCAGAGCTCACCCCAGAGGCTGCAGTGAGGACAGCAGGGACATCGCCAGGGAGAGTCTCAGCAGACTGGACAGTCCAGTCCCCAGAGGGACACAGTTCATAAACTAGGCCACTGATTTACAATAATGGGGAAGAAGAATTATTCAATAAACCATAATGGGAAAATGGGCTATTTTAGAAAAAAATGGGGCCTATCTTACATCAAAAACTAAAAAAATTATAGCTGCCTTTACTGTTAAAGTAAGAAAAAAGCTAACATTAAACACAGAGATTTAGATGATGTTAGGATTTTTAAAACACATACTACAAAAGCAACAAGAGAAATCAAAAAGAAAAGCTCGATTTTAATTAATGATATATAATTTAAAACCTCTAAAGAACAAATTAAAATCTGAAAAAGTACCATGTATGATTACAAGTTATTTCAAAACTATAAATGTTCTATAGGAAAAATACTCTATTAACAGACATTTGAAGAAACACAAGTAAATGGTCAGTAGACATAAAAAATCTTCCATCTCTACAAATCAAATGGCAACCACTCCAGTATTCTTGCCTGGGGAATCCTGTGGACAGAGGAACCTGACAGGCTACAGTCCATGGGGTTGCAAACAGTCAAACTGGAGTAGGTGACTGAGCACACATAAATCAAATAAATTCAAATTAAAACTCTTTGAATTATTTTTAACTTTAGGCCCAGGAAAAAAATGTAATTCAGGTACTCAAAGGTGACAATGAAATAAGCTCACAAACAGCTGTTAAGACGGCAAATTGATCTGAACCTAATGGAAAACAATTCAGCCTTTCACTAATTATTCAACTTCTGGGAATTTGGAAAAAGAAAAGATGCACCAAAATATATGGTCATAGATATGCATCACATCCTAATTAGCAATAAACTGTATTAAACAAAAGTGAAAGACTACATAAGTTTCAATTAAATACCACATTTTGACAGAAACAGATTCACAGATTTAGAGAATGAACTTGCAGTTGCCAGGGAGAATGATGGAGGAAAGGGATAGTTAGGGAGTTTAGTAGGAACATGGACACACTGCTGTATTCAGGATAGATAACCAACAAGGACCCACTGTATCACACAGGGAGCTCTGCTCAATGTTATTTGCCAGACTCGATGGGAAGGGAGTTTGGGGGAGAATGGATACATCTTTATGTACGGCTGAGTTCCTTTGTTGTCCACCTGAAACTATCACGTTGTCAGTTGGATATACTCGTATACAAAATAAAAACTTTAAAAAATAAATGCCACATTTTGAACATTATTTAATGCTATAAATAAACGTTAAGCATAGAAAATTAAGAAGGAATTAGGATCCAAAGATATTCAACGTTATAGAAAAGTGTGCATAACACAACATTGTTAAGCAACTATGCTACAATAAAAATTAATGCTAAAAAACCATGAGTTATAATTTCAATTAAAAAAAACTGTGCATGTGCAGATATGCACAAAAATTTCTAGGGGAAAGACTAAGAAATAACCAAAATATCAGCAAGTATACCTGGCTTAAAAAAAAAAAAATCCTTGTTCCTTTCTTCTTCTTCTTCTTCTATGTGCTCAGTCATGTCTGACTCTTTGCAGAGTAGCCCACCAGACTCCTCTGTCCGTGGGATTCTCCAGGCAACAGTATTGGAGTGAGTTGCCATTTCTTACACCAGAGGATCTTCCTGACCCAGGGGTCAAACCCACGTCTCTGTGTCTCCACATTGACAGGTGGGTTCTTTACGTCTGGGCCACCTGAGATGCCCTTCTTCTTCCATAAAGTTTTTTATAGAAATAGAAAAATATATATTCTTTTTTAAAATTCACAATTACCAATAGCCATAATGTATGCCTTCTCGTAGACTCTAAGTCCTACCTGTGCTGTGAAAACACTAAAACCTCAGTGAGGTCATTTGTATAAAGACAATAAGCTAGTTATTGGCATCATTTACAAGTTGAGAAAGCAGATGAAATGTAAGAAAAGCAACACCCAATGAGAAGATGAAAACTCAGTTTTTCTCTACAAGGTTGGTTGGCCTTGTCTCTGGGCAGCACTGCTGCCTGGGCTCATTTCAATTTCCCAGGACAGTGAGTGGGGGACACGAGGAAATCACGAGGGTACCTCAGACTTTACATACAGGATGGCAATTGTGGTCAACAACTAACTTCACAAAGTCTGGATCCCTTTTTAAAAGTTAACACTGAAGGAAAAATGCCAATGGGAGGAGCAGCTTAAAGCAGAAAGCAGCCTCTACCTTCCATCAGAATCTCCTGGAGAAACCCATCCCCAGGGTTTCTAACTTTACAGAACTGGTCTAGAAGGAGCATGGGGCAGGGGTGGGAGGGGGGTGGTGATTTGCATTTCTAACAAGTTTCCAGGTGAGGAGGATGCTGCAGGTCTGAAAGCCATATTTGAGAACAGCCGCCCTAAAGCTTGATAATAGAGACGTTTCACGTGTATCATCTCCAACAACAAGATCTTTAAGAACTTCCCTTGAGAAACTCCACCTACAAGACCAAAGGTGTGTTTGGACTCACCTTCTCCCTCCATTTAAGAACAAGGATCTCAACAGAAGCAGCTCAGTACTGCAGTTACATCCAAAACAACACAGGCTCGGAAGCCAGACTGCCTGGTTTGGGATCCAACTCTTACTAGTAGCTGTGTGTTGGTAGGCAACCTGGTCAACCTCTTGGAATCTGGGGCAGAATGGATATATGTTTATATATGGCTGAATCCCTTTCCTGTCCACCTGAAGCTATAACAACATTGTAAATCGGCTGTGAAAATGACAGTCATTCAGTCATATCTGACTCTTTGCGACTACATGGATTATACAGTCCGTGGAATTCTCCAAGTCAGAATACTGGAGTGGGTAACCTTTACCTTCTCCAAGGGAATCTTCCCAACCCAGGGATCGAACCCTGGTTTCCCACACTGCAGGCAGGTTCTTTACGAGCTGAGCCACAGTTTATAAAATAAAAAGCGTTTAAAAAAGTTACTCAATCTCTCTGCTTCAGGGACTTCCACTCCAGCAGAAAAATTGGTGCCTACCAAATTGAAATGGGTGCCTACCCAAATCAATAAGAAGTCCTCACATTCCCATTTCCATGCACATACATTTTGAAAATCCACAAATAGAGCATGCCTTGCCCTGAAGAGGTCCTTGCCCTGTCTGAAGTTAAAGGGAGGTGTCCCTACTTTGTTATTATTTATTGTGGTTGTTGTTTAGTCACTAAGTCATGTCCAACTCTTTTGCAACCCCATGGACTGTAGCCTGCCAGGTTCCTCTATTCATGGGATTTCCCAGACAAGAATACTGGTGTGGGTTGCCATTCCCTACTCCAGGGGATCTTCCCTACCAAGGGAACAAACCCACATCTCCTGGTCTTCTGCTATGGCAGGTGGATTCCTTACCACTGAGTCAACAAGGAAGCCTACACCCATATTTTCTCTTCCTGACCCTCTTTCCTTAAGGGCCACCAAATGGCCAAGAGATGTAGTTACACACACTGAGTACACCACCATCAGAACAAGCACAGAAGCTTCTGTTTCCTGGAAATCCCCAAGGACCTCCCATAGGAAGAAAAGGAAATATCAGAATTTGTGGAAAAGATGGATGGTTTAGGGCCCAGAAACGAAAGATATAATAATCACTCAAGTGTGATTGAACCCAAAGGTTCCGGCCCACCTAATTAGTGGTCCCAACTACTAGATGGAAAACTTCAGTTAAGAGCTTCACCTCTCTGAGCTGCTTTTCATCTGTGCGTTTCCTCCCAGCTCAGGGGCCCCTCAGTGGTTTCAGAACCAGAGGACTCCTGGGCAGGACCACCTGCATCAAGACCATGCACTACTTCTGGAAAGGCTAGAGATGCAGATAAGACCCCACAGGCTTCAGGGACCCCATCCCCAGGGTGACTCCCAAAAGTGGAAATAGAGATTCACAGTAAGAAAAGGGGCTGGTCAAATACATCTTTCAGTCTTCTCAATGTATCCCAGATAAAAGCAAAATGGGTTCAAGAATCATGTCCCTGTTCATTTTTTAAGAAGTGTTTTTTTACACACATGAGATTTGTCACAACTAGATACTGGAATATAGTGAGAGATGCACACAGAGGGAGTGAGGGAGACATGGTCATAGACACAGTGACAAGGGAGCCCGATGTGGTTGGAACTCAGCTGTCACCTCAGGAATATGGAGAAAGCTGGGGACATTATTGGCAGATGGCAACAGGAGCAGAGCATGATTAGATAAAGAAAGTCGATTAGCCAGGAAAGGGTGCGAATTACTTCAGAACAACGAATCCGGAGCTGTCCTGGGGAAGCCGGCTAAGTAAGGATGGAGGTGCGGGGTCCAGTCCTTCTCCAGCTGGTGGTGACCCCCCTGGGCAGCCTGGGTTCTCAGCCTCCCTGCCTCCTGCTCCCGCTGCCCCTCCTGCTCCCCCGGGACTAAGGAGGCTGACAGGGCAGCGAGCTGCAAGGCAGGGAGACCCTGCGCCCCGCCACCAGGTCCCTCTTCCTGTTCCTGCTACCCCTCCACCCAGAGGGTGCAGACAGGGACCCCCGAGGCCGGCGTGGGGAGACCCCACCCGCTACAAGCAGCCATCGGAAAGCGCTCCCTCGCCCTGACCCTCGACCCTCAGCCTCTGAGAGGGGTCAGCAGCGTCAGGCACTGGCCCTGAGGCGGCGGGGTGTCTCAGCCCAGGGCGGGGCTCACCAGGAGAACAGCCGCGAGCAGACGTTCGCCTTCTGCGGCGGGTTGGGCTTCTCCTCAGGGGACACCGGCTGCATCTTGCCGGCCTGGACCCGAGCGGGCCGAGGGCCGTGGGGTGGGGGCAGCCGGAGCCACACGCAGGTGTGAGGTGAGGCTGCAGGTGCCGCTGATGGAGGCGGTGGGGGAACCTCACGGCTCGGGGAGCAGGACCCCAGGCGCCCCGAACTGGGCTGCAAACTCTACCAGAGGGCGCGCTCTGAGCCCGGACCCCCACCCAGAAGGTGGAGAGGGAGGGGCAGGCTGCTGCAGAAATGCCCCTCAGCTGTGGTGAAGACCTGGAAAAAGCTGGCAGAAGGAGATAGCAGCCCGCCCTCCGGGCACGCTGCCCTCATCAGGACCAAGCAAGGGCGCTGTGGGAAGGTCTCCAACTGGAATGCAGCGGGACCCTGGGGAGCCTTCCTGGGATAGACCCCACCCCACTGCGAGATACACTGAGCTAGTGGCCACTACTGGTCCGTGGAAGTGAGAACTGATGACCAGCACAGAGCTGCCAGGCTACTTAGATGACAGCCCCAGGCTCCCTAGTGTCTGCTAGGCTGGCCCTGAGGAATCCTGTTTTGATAAAAGGAGGGAAAAGGAAAGACCACAGCTCACTCTTCTCCTGGCACGAAGGACAGTTACTCAGCAGTGACCTGAGCACAGAGAGAAGTCAACGTTTACTTTGTTTATCCCTCAAATAAATAAATTTTAAATCAGCCAATAAGTGGGTATCAGTACAAGAGGGAAATAAAGAACTTCAGACCTTTTTCCCATATATGAAACCCATATGAACATATATGAAGAAAATAAGTGCATTCAAAAGTATTATTTCTGGAATGAATAAACAAAGTGTGGTATAAACATACAGTGTTTATTCCCTTAAAAATGAAGGGAATTCTGACACGTGTTGTAGCATGGATGAACTTTGAAGACTGTTATGTTGTGACTTAGAATACTTATTTAGTCTTCATGCTGTTGCTGGCACAGAATTCCTAAAACCCTTAGGTGCTCTAAGGTAAGAGTGAAAAAGTATCTTGATAATTGTAACAAGCCCCTTTCAACTACACCTGAGTTTTACTGAATGCATCTGTCTCAGAAAAACCAAACACCTGATTAAAGGCTTGGCAGTTTCAGCCCACCTCCCAAGTCCAGGGACAAGAGGGACTGGAAACGGTTCAACCACCAATGGCCAATGCTTTATTCAACCTTGCCTAAGTATGTTTCTTGAAGCCTCAATAAAAAACCAGTAGGATGAGGTTCACAGAGCTTCCCAGCTGGTGAACCTGAGCAGGTGCTGGGAGGGTGACTCACCTGGAGAGGCCTGGAAGCCCCTCCCCTCCCCCTACCTTGCTCTCCATCGCTTCCATCTGGCTGTTCTTGACTTGAATCCTTTTATAATAAACTAGTGATCTAGTTGAGTAAGCTGCTTTCCTGAGCTGTAAGCCACTCTAGAAAATTACCAAACCCAAGGAGAGGGTTATGGGAACTCTGATTTATGATCAGTTCATAAGAAGAACAGGTAACCACCTGGACTCATGACTGGCTCTGAAGTTGAGAAGGGCCAGTCTTGTGGGACTGAGCCCTTAACCCACGATGATGTCTAACAGTAACTCCAGGCAGATAGTGTCAGAACTGACTTAAATTGCAGGACACAGTTGTGTCCAGTGAGTTGGAGAATTGGTTAGTATTGGTTAGTACACACACGGTGTCAAGAAGTAGAGTCACCAAAAGATAAATACTGTGATTCCAGTTATATGAGGAGCCTAGATCAGTCAAATTAATAGAAACACAAAGTAGAATGGTATTTGCTGTGGGGGGAGGGGCAGTGTGGGGAGTGTTTAATGGACATAGAGTTTCAGTTGGAAGATGAAAAAGCTGTGGAGATGGACTGTGGTGATGGTTCCACAGCAATGTGAATATAATCAATGCCCACAATAGTACATTTAAAAATGGTTAAAATAGTTCACTTGTGTTGTGTATATTTTACCATGTAAGGGAGGAGAAAATTCTTTTTCCTTTTACCCTTCTAGGCCCTCTGACTGGGGCCTGGGAAATTCAATTGATGTAACACAGATGAACAAGAGAAAAACACTTTATTAACCTATACGGCATGCACGTGTATGCAAGAAGTCTTTAATCATACAGACAGTTGTTGCTGTACTCATGTGTTTGTAAAAGTGCTTCATTTTGAAGAAGATTCATGGGAAGGACTTTTGACAAGTACAGATTTCTGATAAGTTTCAAACCACAAGCTAAACTTTGTAAGAAATTATGGAGTCCTAATGGATAACCTGATTGGAGAAGGAAATGGCAACCGACTCCAGTGTTCTTGCCTAGAGAATCCCAGGGACAGCGGAGCCTGGTAGGCTTCCGTCTATGGGGTCGCACAGAGTTGGACACGACTGAAGTAACTTAGCAGCACAGCAGCAGCAATGGAAAACCTGATGCCTTCATAAAACCATTAACAAAAAGGACTAGTTGCTGAGTGAACTGGAGAATATGCTTATAAATTTTACTTTTTTTATCTAAAATATTAGTGATTTAAGTTAGTGTTTTCCTAACATGAAAAAATCCTTTCCCCCAAGCTAATGATGACTTACAACAATTTGGTAAATTACACTTTATAAGTAGAATTAAAACATATGTCTTTTCTTTATACCTGACTCTTCCAAAAACTGGAAACTGTTAGGTTCCCAGAAGCTGTGTCAGATAAATAAGGAAGGCCACCTCCTAACAGGGGCGACTCTTTCACCTCTAGCTGAGTGACACATGTTCTCTGAACTCAGTTTCTCGTCTGTAAAATGGGTATTAAGAAGTAATATCTGGGACTTCCCTGGTAGTCCAGTGGTTAAGAATCTGCCTTGCAACGCAGGGGAGTTGGTTTCAATCCCTGGTCAGGGAACTCAGAGCCCACATGCCAGCAGAGCAACTAAGCCTGAGCACCGCAGCTATTGAGCCTGCCCGCTCCATGTAAGTCCTTGCACCACAATGAAAGATCTCACATGGTACAACGTATGTCCTGAGTGCCACAACAAAGCCCCAACAAAGCCAAAATTAAAAAACAAAAAGTTTAACTGTCTCACGGAGTTATTGTTTATGTGAAAGTGCTTGTTGTAATTTCTGATGGAGAAGGGATGTTCAGTAAGTGGAGGTTATTATAGCAAGATATTTTATCAGAATATTACATTCACTGTCCTTGCTATGGTATGAATGCTTGTGCTAAAGGAATGAAAATGGAATCCCTGAGGTTATAGCTTAAAGACTACTGGTGCTCGCATAAAGAGCACAGTTTGCAAGACAACTTAACCAACCAAATTTTCCTCCAGAGAAGAGAGATTGAAACCCAAGTCAGAGGAGAGCAAAGGTCTGGGGACAAGAGGCAGAGAGTTGGCGACCCCTGTCCCCAGTGGTCACCATCCTCAACCTCCCAGGCAAGGGCAAAGTAGGGAGGATACAGGATATGACAGAACCCGCCCCCCCCCTCCAAGTACAGCTGGTTCCTTACCTCCTGCTAGAAGCCAGGTGAGGTGCCTGCTTTGCAGAGGAGACTCCCATACCATCATCTTGTCTTACAAGTAAAACAGAAAAACCTGATTTCCCACTTGGGGTCTGGAAAATTCAGAAAGGGGGAGGCAGCAGGCTTACAGAGTCTGTGAGCCAGGATGAGAGAATGCCATTGAGGGTGATGAAGCATGTGCCATCCATCTGGGGAGCAGATGAGAACCCAATTACATCCTTCCTTTAATATCCCACAGCAGAGTTGATTTTAAAAACAGAATACATTTAAAAAAAACATTTGGCCAGAAAAGTGGAAACCAGACTTTGGTAAAGTTTAAGAAACAACACCAGGAAGATAAATAAGAACTCTTCCTAAAACTAGATTATCTGCTTTATAATCAGGTTAGATTTATAGTCCCTATTCTTCATCCTCCACATTACAAGTGGTGCAGGAGAAGGAAATATTTCATCCTGAGAGATGTGAGAGTACCAGGGACCAGCTTCCAAGTGAGGGTCTATGGGTTCCTGTGGGAGAGAGTTGAAGAGGGAGCTGAAATAGAGTGAAAATGGATTTATTCAGGGAGATACACACCCCATAGTCAAAATATGGACCCTCTCAGAAGGTGAGAGGACCCAGGTTGTTAGTTTTCATGGGATGGGTAATTTCATACAATAATAAGTGGGATGAATATTCTTACTATTCCAGGGGAGGAACAGGGATTTTCAAAAACTGAACCACTGCACACTTTTGAAATGGAGCAAGACCCTATGGTCCTTGCCCCCCATGTCCTCTGCCTGCCTTTTTTTTGTTGAAAATCTTTAGCCAAAGAGTAAGTTTAATCCCAGAAGCAAGAACATGCAGATACAAAGAAAAACAGTTAAAGGAGACCAAATGATAATAATGTAGTCATTAAACATAGTCTAGGACCTCTAATTCCTTCCCAAGGGCTATAGATAATATTCTGAGCTCTATCCTGTGAGCTGTCTTATAGGTACTGAAAACCCCTCCAGGTAAAAGAACTACATGATGATCAGACTGTAGCCATGACATAAGCTGTCACAGTTCTGAGAATGGACCTTGAGAAATGGGAATAAACCAACCCTGAACTGAAGAGTAACTATACTTAAAACAAGATGAAGTGGTCAGACCACCAGTGATCAATCTCAAGATGACTGTCAGTGCTGACTCTGCTGTTTCTACAGTAACCCTCTCCCTCTGTCTATAAAAGCTCTTGTCCATTCAGTCTCAAGGGAGCGGGCAGTCAGCCTTTGGACAGGTGCCCACCCTCCCCCCCGCCACCACATACTGGCATCCAAAATAAAGTAAATGTTCCTTTCTACCAACCTGGCCTCCTTATTGGCTTTTGAGTGCAAGAAGCCAGACCACCTCTTCAGTATTACTTCTGGCTTTCTATGATCAGCCTTGGAACTATTACAGCATCTGTCATGGTGAGATGGGAGTGAATTTTAGTGTTATAATGAAGGTATAATAAATTAGAGGTAAGAGGCCACACCATACTCAACACCATCTTGATTTTAG